AGCCGATAAGACTCCTAAGATAAAAGACACAGGAAGGGCTCAGTGAGGACTGGGGCTGAGATCACTGAGGAAGGGGCATTGTTCATGAGCGCCAGGCCCTGAGAGCCTTGATGTCTCATTTTTGTTCAGTCTTGCTTGGTTGAGGTTCCAGAATCTGCCTTACCTTCCCACAAGAGGGTGAGATGGATGAGGGAGCAGATCCTTTGCATGGTTCCACTCAGGGACAGCTCTGCCTCTCAACTCACCCTCTGCCTGGTCCCTCCTCTGAGTCAACAACTTCTCTGTGTTGCACTTGTGCCTGAGGAAAACCACCCCTGTTGGCTGCTGTTTTGTTCCCCAAGAGGGCGTTTGCCAATCACAGGAGGCTCATGGAGACTGTTGACTGTTAATGGGATGAAAGGCAACCTTTAAGATTGGTGATGTGGTCTAGATAAGTAAGATCAATTGAGAGGAGGTGAAGGCAGCTTATTTGATTGATGACAAAGTTTCTGCTTCTCACCCTAGAAGTTGTTTGAGGTTGTTGCTCCATTTTCATGTTAGATGTACACGTTGTATGCTCTGTTATTGACGTTTACAGCTGTAATTGAAGGAACCATCAAATGAGGAGATCAATAGTATGTGCACAAAGACCGGGTGTTGTAATCATTGTTGTGTTTACTGTAAACTCCCTCCAGGCCAAATTGGGTAAGAGTGATTCACTCAAGTGTAAAAGAGCAATCCAGTGAGGTACTGTCTCCAAATTTGAGCCAGAGTTTCCTGATCTTTATTGAGCCACTATCTTCTTTTCTGAAGGGTTCTTAAGTCACCAATGTTGAATTACACAAAACAAAATATTGTAAAAAACTTAGAAACTATCACAATATCCCAGAAGCCTAAATTTATATGTACTTCAGAAGAGAGGCACTTTTGAATTCTTGGGACTTACACTTTTGAACATCAAGACCAATAATCTATGAAATTTTAAAATCCAGCAGGTAAATTAATAATGGAAACTGGAGGGTGCAGCAGAAGCTTGGAAGGGGTCACTTGGTATGCAAAGTGGCGGAAGCTAAGGTGGCATCGAATATCTGAGAACGAGTGCAGGACCTAAATACCCATGCTAGTGGAGGACAGACTCGCCTAAGCTCTCTTGTTTTCCCTGGTATGACTGGAACCAGACTGCCTGAGGAAATTCAGATAGAAGCTCCAGTTTGCTTGACCTCATGGTAATTTGCTTTTCCTACCCTTGTGTCTTCTCTTTTTGTAAACTGCACATCTCACCTCTGTTTCTAGAGGACCATTAGCAAATACTCAAGGTGGTCACATTCTTTGAAATTACAAATTACACCATCAGTACCCACCTGTAGGACACAATGGTGCCAATTCTTCACAGTTCTTTGAAAGTTGCAAGGGCAGTTTCTCTGGATTTGCACACTTGGTCTTTTTATATCAAGTTGACTAGCTCCTGGCACATCCAATAAATCTAGTCATTTTTACTGTTCACCAGACTCTGAGAATTCATTGATGATTGACAGATGTGGTCTCTTCTCTCTTCTGTAGCATGAGACTCAGTCATCACTTAATGATTTGCATAATGAATCCTCCACTGCAGCTGTGATAAGTACTCTGCAGAAGAAGGATTATGAGAGCATGTTAGAGGGGCCAGGATCTGATCAGAAGGTCAGGGAAGGCTTCCCTAAAGAAGTGACTTTGCAGTTGAGATTCAAAAGCAGAAGTTACCCAGGTGTGCTAGATCGTGTCTGTTTGTCCCTCCAGACCCACTCTACTTTCTCCTCTAGGAGGCTAAGCTTAATGTACAGCATCCACGTGGGTCCCTCGCCCTTTGGCATCCCATTTAGTTTGGCCAATGGGATACACCATCAGGAGATTAGAGAGAAGGAGAAGAGTGAGGTGGGGTGTTAGTACCCACATTCCTTTCTGCCGGGCTATGGATTGGCAGTGGCTGCTTTCCTCTGCTGGAGACCACCTCTCCTTTCCTACAGCTGCAGGTTCCAGTAAAGGCTCCTGCACTCCACGCTTCAGGCCTAGGGTGGTAGTGGCTTCTCTGTTGCCAGCCCCAGGTGTTTTCCCATCTTTTTTAGTTTCCTATAACCTGGCTGTATTAGTTTCCTATGGCTGCCTTAACAAACTACCACAAACTGCATGGCTTAAAGCAGTAGAAATTTATTGTCTCATTGGTTCTGGATGCTTGAGTCTCCAGAGATCAAGGTGTCAGCAGGCCCATGTTCCCTCTGAAACCTGTAGGGAAATCCTTCCTTGCTTCCTCCTAGCTGCTGGTGGCTTGCTGGCCATCTTTGGTGTTCTTTGGTTTGGCTTGTAGCTGCATCACTTCAATCTCTGCCTTCATTGTGGCATGGTGTTCTTGTGTCTCTGTCTTCACATACCCATCTTCTTACAAAGACTCAGTCATATTGGATTAGGGGCCCACCCTACTCCAGTATGAAATCATTTAACTAATTACATCAATTGCAATGATCTTATTTCCAAATAAGGTCACTTTCTGAGGTACTGGGACATAGGCTTTCAATGTTTTTCTTTTTTTTTTTTTGGTGAGGAAGATTGGCCCTAAGTTAACATCTGTTGCCAATTTTCCTCTTTTTGCTTGAGGAAGATTGTCACTGAGCTAACATCTGTGCCAATCTTCCTCTATTTTGTACATGGAACTCCATAGCGTGGTTTGATGAGTGGTGTGTAGGTCTGCTCCTGGGATCCGAACCTGCATACCCTGGGCCACTGATGTGGAGTGTGCAAACTTAACCACTATGCCACTGGGCTGGCCCCTGAATGTATCTTTTTTTGAGGGACTCAGTTCAATCCATGACACTTGCCCATCCCTTTGTAAACGTCCCTTTCTTTAGATTCTGTCCAATCATTCTCTTGAGAATAACCTCTGTCTCCTTCTGGAACTCTGCCTGATGCACCAGGTTTAGGGGGCATGTACAGGGAAAGAGCATTCTATGTAAGAAATGAGGCCTTTAAAAAAAAAAGTCCTGAGGCAGGAGGAAGTGCAGTAGGCTTAAAGCCACATTAATATCAAAAGAGCAGTTAGCAGGGCTCAAGTAGGCCCATCTTCCTAGATAATTACTGTTGAATTATCCCAAATGATTCAGCAAGTTGTTCTGAAAATTCACAAGAATGTACTTATGTTTATGACTGTGATTTATATCTGCCACAGGTTAGAGGTAATTTTAAGAGGTTATTGCCAATGGACAATGGCAACCTTCCTCTAGGCCTGACTGGGGGAGAGTTAGTATGAACAATAAATCAAAGCCGGAGGTGGAAGATGGTGGGGGTAGACACAAGTGATGATCTGGTGGAAGCTTGGGGCAGAGCGTGCCTAGGAGACATGCTATATCCAGTCAGGGAGAGCCAGGACCTGCCACAGACAGCTTTGCCTGGGCCTGTGCAGGAGCAAGATGGAGCTTGAACACAAACATAGCCTATCTCCTGGTAGAAGGCAGAAAAGTATGCCAGAGGCTTGCCCTTGGACTCCACCTTTCTCAGGTTCTGTGCAGGCAGTGTTCCTTGTGCTTAGTCTTTCTTTCTGTGTCAAGGCCAGCAACGCCCCAGGCCCTGGGGGATATCTGTCCCTTTGTGTGACTTCCAAGGAGTATTAATGTTTCTTTACAGTCTGTGAGGAATAAATGAAAGTATATTTGCAAACACTGGGCTCATTGCTTGACTATTTGTCAGTTTCTTCTTTCCTTGATGTTATTGATGAGGATTATTTTGGGCTGGTTACTTTTAAAAACTGCAGACAGGAAAGAAACTCTGAAAAGTAGAGTTTACTTACCCTTTGTTAAGAGATATTTACATTTGTAAAGGAAATCTCCATCTGTAAAGGTGTCTCCCTCTCTGTACCAGGAAGAAGGGGGAATGACCTTATCTCTAGACACTCTTAATGGGGAAGGCAAGGACTTAAATATGCATACTAATCTTACTCTTGTTTACTCTACTTGTCTGGTAACCTCCTATAACTGACTCCCCCCACCACCAACATCCTCCTTTGTCTTTAGCTGAAGATGATATTTAAGATGGTGGATTCAACCATTTTGGCGAGTTGCTCAGGTTGCCTGAGCCTCTCCCACATATACATGGTATAAAGCTTTGTTTAATTTTCTCCTGTTATTCTGTCTCATGTGAATTTAATTCGTTCTCCAGCCAGAAGAACCCAGAGTGGGTAGGGGAAATGTCTTGGGAGTTACATGGGATAAAATTTCACTGGCTGTGATGAGGATCAAGGTTGTCCCAGGGAGAGAAGCCCAAGGTGACCTGCCCTACATACCAATCTATATCATCCTCTGGAAGCATAGGACATCCTGACTTAATCTGATCTGATTCTTACCTAGTTATAGGACCACCCAACAACCAGACCCCACCTGCACTGATACCATTTTAACCACTTTTTTTTTTTTAACATAATCTTTCCTTAGTCTTGTAAAGAGATAACTCACATACCTATGCCTTAAATTTAGCCCTACCTTCAATCCACGTTTGCAGCTCCTTCCTATCCCTATGCTATTCCATACTATTCTGTGAATAAAAGAGCACTACTGCCAGACCTTGAGAGTCCAAGAAAATTTTCTTTTGACTCCTTGACTCACTGAGCATGCATCATTATTGCATAAAAATAAGGATATCTGAGACTTGAACAGTTAGTAGGAGAAGCAAGAGTGGTTTAGGGGGCTTTATCTGTCCTACCCTATTATCTCCATCAGGCTCCTATCTTTGACATCTTTCCCAATCTTGTGTGCTATGAAAATATAGCTGTAACGTAAGTTCCTGAGGCATCTGCCTACCAGATTGCCACCTCTTAGCCCTTCATTTGTGGAAATTTTGAAGTTGCCTCTGAATATAGTGCTTCACAAAGTATAAGTGCTGCCTCACACTTCTTATTTGGTCTGTCTTTACCTCCTGTGCAATCCCCCCAAAGCACTCACTGACTTGCTGCTGGTCTTCAAAAATGCTGACTGGAGTGAAATGACTTCTTCTGCCCACAGGATGTCTGACTTGAAAGTGAGTTGCTGTCTACAATATACAAGAAGAGCCAAGGAAGAGCAGTGAGGAGCTCATTCCCAAGATCATGGCCACAGGAGGTGTCACCAACCAACTGCCTCGAGGAACTCAAAGGAGGTTTTGGAAGCACTTAATTGTTTATTCAGTTATGTTAAGAGATGCAATTACCAACTGCCCTGACATAGTCCAAATACTGCTGCGAGTGATGCCTGAGTAGAAGGGCTGAGAAGTGTCCAAGAGTTACCTTTGTGTCATTTTAATGTTAAGATCTCCACCCCAGGAGGAGCTTAAGCCTTATTAGCATAACATGTAATGTATGTGAAAGCACATTTTCAGACTACACCCGCACGAGCTGATTCCCACCTCTACATGTGATGAAGAAACTTCCCTTTTGAATATTCACTCCCCATCCGAAATAAATGGTATCTGTTTTGCCTTGCTTGGGTGCCACAGCTTTGGAAGTGATTGCTCATGGTCTCTTTATTTGCTGCAAATAAATTTTACTTTGTGTGACAGCTACTTCTAGTGAAGGCTTTGATTTCAACTCACCAAGAAGTGAACCCACTTTGGTTCTGTAACAGAGGGACTCCAGGTCTTTGGGTTGTGGCTCTAAAGATAGGCCATATCATTACAGGAACTTCTGCTCCCTTCAGCCTTACCAGACAGAGGAGGGTTAAGAAAGGCATTGCTGACCCTAATACCAAATTGCCACAAGTGCTCCCTGCTTTTCTGTTAGTGTAAGGTGGCGAGAGATGGCTGTAAGGCTGAGGTAGATAATATTTCATTTTCAGGGCCAGGGTGCTGCTTGGGGGTCCCAGGAAAATCAATCAACAGATTACGCAGTGATGGAGGGAGATCTGTTTATTGGTCTCATTGAAAACAGAGGGAAAAATAAAAGATTTGAGGGTGGTGGGGACCTTGGCAAGCCTTCAAATCCCTGTCTCAGCCTTCACTTCTCCATAATCTCAAGCAGAGAGCTGCTTTTCCTGTTTGTCAAGTGGGTTCCTTGAACTCATACTCATTTCTCTGAATTTGCACAAACTGTTGAAAGCAGGCAGCTGGGTTACCCTAGGTCTGCTCAGACAAACCTGATAGAATACTATATATAAGTCTGGGCTGGATGGGGTCCTGGAACTTAGGGGTCCTTTTTTTCACTGCCTGTTCTAGTTCTCAAGAGGCAGCTGTGCTGTAGTGGAGAGACCACTTGATTTCAGCTTGGAAGGTCTGGATTTGCATCTGATACCACCACTTATTGGAAATCACTTAACTTCTCCAGCTCTCAGTTTTCTGGACAATAAAATGGGGATAACATTGTCTCATGTGGTCATGAAATAATGGCATGAGTACAACTTGTGACTGATCTACAGTTAGACCAGCACTGGGGTCAGCTGACCAGTGTGGAAGGTGGGAGGGACAGGCTTTGGTTTGTGACTTGCCTGGAAGCAGAGGAGCAACACCATGGTAGGACAGCACAGTGGTAAGTCCCCTCCTTTCTCACTGCGGTTTCAAGAGTCTCCAGGGAGAACTGGCCTCCCTTGTTGGTATATAAAGTTCAGGGAGCTATCCAGATTCCTTTTATGCTAGTATATATTACAATTATTTATCCCTGCTCCTCATCCCCTCATCATTTGACTCTGCAAAATTTTGCTTCTTCTAAAAGGAACAAACATCTCTTATTGCTCCAACAAGGCATGTGGCTTAATTCCTGAAAAACAAAATCAAGATAAAGGGAAGATAGAGAAATTGAGGAGCCGTATCTGAGTATCAAGGGACTGAGGTTCCAGTGTGGGATTACAGAGCTATCTTCTATTTCAGTCTTCCCATGAACTCTCCAGGAGTAATTTCATCAGGAGAATCAATTATTCATTCAATCAATTATTGGGCAAAAATCCACTGGCTTCTATGGTGGTGTCAGTGCTGGGCTGGGCTCTGTGGGAGTGACAATGTTTTGGGCTCTCCAGGGCTCACCTGGCCCCGGAAGCTGCAGGGCCTGTGGTTCTGAGGCTCCAAGTCCACTCTCACCTGTGCAGCTGTGCAGCAGGGGGAGAAGAGGAGGGCAGTTCCACTGCATAGCTTCCCCTGAAGACTGAGGACTTTGCTTCTGGGGCTGTCTCCTGGCCCTGTCTTCGTCATCTCAGCTCTCAACATCTTAGGGACTCTCCAGGTGCTCTTTGACTTGTCTTCAGATAACGAAGAAATGAGCCTGAATCGGTAGGTATTCTGCCCCCAGAGAACAGCCTCACCAGTTGTACAGACAGTCTGGGGACTTTTTCTTCCCACGGTATCTCCCTCCTGGACTGAGGCCAAGATTTTGGCAGAGGAGCTGTTGATATTTAGCTTGGGACAACTTTTAATGCTTCTTTCCTCCCTATTTGTGACATTCCCTTTTTCTTTGGTCAAAATATATTTATTTTGGATCTTTTATTTGTATACCAAGGGAGCTGCTTCCTAGGAAGAGAGAGAGACTTTGCCAAAATGCCAATCTTCCTTAGGACAAGAGCCTATAACTGTCTCGCGGAATTTAACAGAAAATATTATTGCACTGGATTTAATTTTTAGTAGCATTTAAGTGCCTACTATAGTACTCTGCCATATCTAGTGCCCTGTAAATGTTGATGCTGGACTAAAGAAAACACAAAACAAACATAATGGGAAGATGGAGAAAGTGGAGCAAGCAATGAAAATTAAATGGGAAAAAGCAAAGTTAATGCATGATAAAAGGTTTAATGGGGTATTATAGAATTATCTACTGAAAGGACAAAGCAGAACAAACTAAAAATAAAAAGGAAATATAACAGCTTAGGTAAGAGGAACGTGGAGGCAGAGAAAAGCTGGAGAAGTAATTAGGACCATTACCTCCATGCAGTGGTTCTCAATCTTGGCCACACGTCAGGATCACCTGGGAAGTTTTAAAAAATGCTGAACCCTGGGTGCTACCCCCAGAGATTCTGATTTAATTAGTCTGGGTAGGATGTGGGCATCAGGATTTTAAATGGCTCCCTAGGTAATTGCAACGTGCAGCCAGAGTTGAAAACCATGGTGTAAGAGAATCTTTTAGTCCAACAAAGGCTAAACCTTGTAGTGCAGTAAAGGCTTATTACAGTGTTGTCCTTAGGGGACAAGCAAAGCCTGTGGCCAGGTGTCACCTGAGACCAGGAGGGTCTGCCAGTCCTCTGATCCTTGTCCTTTGTCCAGGACCATCATGGATCCTGAATAGCTCTCCTCTCTGGTGATTGCTCACCGTTGGCCTCTTATGAATCAGAGGGCATGAGGGCCTGCTTAGGTCAGCATCTGCCATCTCCTTGCTCCCCTGACCTCCTACAACAGTGTGTGGGCACTTAGAGGGTGCTTAGTAAATATTTGCTAGGTGCTGTGGTCCTTGTCCTTCCGAGTCCTTTGGTGCTAATTGAAACGGGCTAAGTCTGTGGTTTTGGGTTCCCCATCTTAATCCTGTCCTGACTTACAAGATCCAAATTCTGCCCTGCCCAGCTTCCTTCTGAGAGGTAGACTTAAGCCAGGGGAGCCTGCTAGTTGTGATTCCTTACATTGTACAACACTCTGCTGTGTGTGTGTGAAATGGAACACAGCTTGTAGCACACCAGACCCATAGAGTAATGGGTTCTCATTGTATTTCAATCTTGCGTTCTCTTTTCCTTCCCTCTCTCCCTTTCGTGTTTTTGTTCTGTAATTCCCAGGCTCACAGCACACCACAGTCATCCAAAGAGACCTGCTATTAAGAGTGAAAATGTGTCCAGTGCCCTGAAGTGGCCACCTGTGTTTGGAGGGAGCGAATTACCTTCTGCTCTCCTGGAATTGATGATTTCACAGTGAAGATTTGCTGCCACGGAGAGAGCTGTGGGTGGAATGCAAAGTTATTGGTGTCTCTGGAAATCCTCTTTGATTTCCTGTGCTTGTTGGAAGAACCAGGGGGGCCTGGAGGTCCTCAGGTAGAACATGGAGAAGCCAGAAGAGAGGTTTTCATGCTCATAAGAGACTAATCTTATGTCTTTGTTGGTAGAAGTCCATTTATAAAAAAGTGAAAACAAAAGAACAGTAATTTTGTACTTCCATCTAAACATATCGCAACAGAGAGGAAAAAGCTGGAAAACCCTGGAGTGGAGGCAATGGGTTATTAGTGTAAAAGGACCTGAATAGAAACCCTTGACTCTTTGTAGTATTTCTCTTCATATAAGAAAAAGCATTCCCTACTTTCTTTCTCTAAAATGGAGAAAAATATTTTGCTCAAGGTTCTTGATTGGGAGTGGGGCTGGGGACAGGTCAAGGATAGGCGGAAGATAATTTTCTTTTTTCTCCTTTGGTAGTGGGAGCTTATGAAAAAGTAGACTGTAGATGCTTCAGTGATTACGGGGAGCTCAAAGTCTGTAGCTCCGGAACTAGACAACTGTGGATAAGATCTTATCATGTAGATCTTGTATTCTTCAACCTGCCAGTTGTTCCCCAGGGTAGAGGGAGGTGACATAAGTGGGGTCCCCCAGAACCCTAGGGAAACTCCCTGCCTCATCTCCCACAGGAAGCAAATAAAGACCTTTATCCTTCAGTCAAAGGGAAAGGAGAGAACTGTAGGAGGCCTCCCTGAGAGTGAGACCCTCCCACTCTACCCCAGGTGGGAGACAGTGAGATGACTCTATCCTCTGGGTTGGGTCTATGCTGCCAGAGGAGGGGAAATGCCAAGATGGAGAGGACTTGCTCTCTTTCCCTTGGGGCAAGGATGTGGTGGGTCAGACCTCCAGGAAGTCTGGCCCTCTGTGCCATCAGCTCACACAGCCACCAGCAAAACTTGTATCATCTGTGCTTTTTCTGGGTGGCCTTCTAGCCCAGACACAGCTCCATAGGTACCTCCACGTTCTTGGGCTCTGAGCTAACACACCTACTACTTTGGCTTAGTTTTACCACAGGTTGGGAGGAAGAAAGAAATGAGTCTGAAAGAATGCCAAAACATGGGATCAGCTCTAAAGATACAGAGCTAACTGAGGGAATAGTGAAAGAGAAATGTGAACTCACTCTGGGCAGTTGTGTAGACAAACAGAATGGCCATGAGATAGCTTTGGGGGATAGAAAAAGAGACTTTCTGACCCACCGAAGTGGGAAAGTTATATTTGAGCGGATGTTGGTCCCACAGCAGCTTGGGTCACCATAACCCAGTGCCCTCGTCATATCCCAGGGACCTCACCCTCTGCTTCTGCTGCTGGCCCATTGCCACACCCTGGGCATCTTTGATGTTCTCATACATGACAAGGGCACAGGGTTTGTGGTGAAACTTTGGTGAAAAGTGAGGGTGGGTATAAGGGCAAGGACTGTACAAGGTAAGTACTATATTATTTGTCATACTCACCATGGCCAGAGACGCCACAGATAAGAGTGGTTGTTTTATGATCACCATAGTACTGCTTTGTTAAAGCCTAGTTTAGAATGCAAGAGCTGTTATATACATCATAGATGT